TAAATGTATCCCCACCAGACTTCGTATCCTAGGTTTCTTGATTCCATGTCAGAATCTTCGGGGTTTGTTTCCGATCTTTTATCTGAAATTCCTCCGTTCGCTTTCAAACAGGCCTTCATCTACCTAGCCTCACTTCTGTTTCGCTCATAGTGGGAAGGTGATGAGCAGAATGTTATAGCATTCCCTCGTTCATCGTGTAGCAGCTTCCATCATTCCTGTTGTCATGCTTGGCTCAAACCATCCGCTTCTATGGCCTCCCCAAAATCACGTCCTAGGAGAGATTATCCATCAAGAAGAACCTGCATCTTGCTGCTATTGCGCCAATTGCTACATCAACATCATGGCAGATCCCGTAAGCCTTCGTTCCCTAGTTGCTTGCCGCACCAATCTACAGTTCATTCAATCGGCAATTCCAGCTCTTCAAATACAGTCTCGCTGATTAAACAAAGCTCAGCTCCCGAATCAATGAACATCTCGTATTCCGTGTCCTCGACATTTGGGTTATGCACATCCATATAATTTTCAAAATGCCTCTTTCCATCCAATGGTAAAGGTCATTGCATCAGGCTCATCTTCCTTCTCTTTTATTGGGAGTACCCTTCTTACGCCGAACCACTGCTGAATCATTTCGGGGGAGATTGATAAGAGTTCTCGGACTGTGACCCCTGGAACGGTTGCATCCAACGTTATCTTGCTTAAGTCCTTAGAGATTCATGCCTCTGGAAACTGATGAAAAACTGTGGCACTGGTGAGGGCGCTTGCCCCTTAGGTCAGTGACAGGGAAATCGCCCACTTTTAAGAAAAAAAGGTCGAAACTTTCACCCTCCAAAAATTTGTAATTTCGCTCGATGGTTAATAAAAATTAAATTAACGTGTTCGCGCGCTGAACAAGATAAAGTCAAAACTGATGTTGGAAGTGTCCTGGTTTTGAGTTCTTGTAATTACTCAGTCCTTGGAAGTTGTTGTCGGTGACCGGCAATTTGGATGGCTAGGAGTTTGCTTTGACTTCTATTGGATTCTTTTGGTTGGGTATTTTTTTCTCGTGATCCTCCTCCATTGGCGGGGGCGTCTCTGGCTAGAGCGGTGGTTATTGTTCGTGAGCCTCCGTGAGCTGCGTTCGTAATTGGGTTACGTTTCGTTGATAGATATTGACATGAGTCGGTGCTCTAGTGCACTGAATGTGGTAACGACAGAGCTCACGTGAGTTAGTGCCGCAATAGAAGTTTGGAGATATGGTGCACTCGATTGATCTGGTAACTCAATTGATCTGGTGCACTCGCTACATTGCTCGGGTCGACATGGTCGACATTCGACAGGTTGATCAATTGGTAGGTAGGTAGATTTGTCGAATGTAGAGGATGGCGCAGATCAAGTAAGTACTGTAATGTAACGAAGCTGTACTGTGATGTTAGGGCGGATCGCTAGGTCACCAATACAATAGTCGCAAATAGGATATACGACCGAAGGGCACGGTTTGTGGTTACTGTGCCTTGGTTTGGCAGTGATGTAGTGAGGACCTGGAGGAGAACTCGAGTGTCATTCACGAGGACGTCCGTCCGTGATATCCATGAGTGCTTGAACGGCTTGCCAAAGAATAAGCAGTGGGGCAACTTCTGGTGGAAGTGTCATGAGGGACATCGCAACGTAGTGAATGAACTAGGGCTGATAGGGTTCCAGGGAGGAACATATTGTATTAGACTGGGCTAAGATAGAAGACATTACGTGAAGAGAGCAAGTATATGAGATTGGGGATTCAGGAATCCTTTTATAGAAATCCCTCTCAAGGTCTGAGTTTACACACGTAGGGATCCTCTGCAGATTAACCTCTGCTAGCGGTGCCCTAGTGCTAACGGTGCTCTGGTGCTATCACTTTAATGGCTCGTCTATCCATACGTTCATGTGAATAACTCATGTGAATAACTCACTCCTACTAGTAGCCGATAGCCTATTCCTCCCCTTAAAAAATCCCGATCTTAAGTATATTAGTTCATTTTCACTTGATTCTTACGTCATAGATTTGCGTGTACACCTGCCCAAATATGAGCCAGATTCCTCGTTGTTGGCAGGATGATCTGGAACACATACCATGCCTATTAGATGCGCCGTAACAGTTCAGGGTGCCAACCAGACTATTCAGTATCATTTCCCAGGAGATCTACTCGCTTAATTTTCCTGTTAGAGGAGTGAGCTATGTTGTTTTTGGCGGATTGCAGGCGTCAACATGGAGTTGGACGAGCTCCTAAAGAAGTATACTAACTTGGTATCATCGTTTAAAGAGGGAAGGTTGTTTGACAGCATTTAATACCACCTTCATAAAGTAAGTCCTCCCCGAATATATACTTACACAGTTAGCCATTAATTGCTCCCACATGGGCTACCTAGAAAATTTCTTAAATGCTATTGTATAACCTCTAGTTATCAATTCGCCGCTATCCCAGGGCACCTTCGCAGAAGACATGAAAAGCAAAGCAGCCTAGTAGCAATTATGCAAGTCCTCCATTCAAATAGCATATCAGCAGCAATGATGAGTGATAAGAAAGATCAAATGCTCAGTCTTTTTTTTAACCCATACATGTAACTTACTCTCGCATTCATCCCAACCCAAGTTGGGACATAAGCATAACCCACCACTGTGGTCTGAATTTTTTTACAAAAAAGGAAGAAAAAAAGAAAAAAAGAAAAAAAAAAAAGACCATTATGGTCTGAGAGTTTTCATACACCCAAAGTTTGCAAGAATTGGGTATATAAATCCTGCACATAGATTAGGGGAGGAAACAGAGCAGTATTACAGAAGTTAGCGAGCGAATACGAAACCTCCCACCTGAATCGTTTGCTCCAAACACCAAAACTTCCGAGCTCGTTAATCTTACATGCGCCAGCATTGATGCCGCAGAACGTGGACGGTTCAGGCTACAGACGGTTCAACGTGATCTCCCTTAGATATATATGGCTGAGCCTTGTGCTAGACTCAGCCCAACAAATGATACGGAAATCATTATCACACTCCTCGATAACGCGCAAATGTCTTCCAACAAAACAATAAAGGCGAAACACCTCTGTATTTGACACCACCAGGTGCCGGATGAGGATTATTGGTGGATTACAACACTAATATGCAACCACATCGAGAAAAACAATCTCACAAACATGGCAGGTTCAAGATGACGTAATATGGAGGCTTCCAGTAGATATTTGGATCGAAAATTTAAATTAAAACCTTTTTCCCTCTCCACGCAGCTGAGGTTTAACATTACACATTTATATTATCAGGGGGACGATGTAATGACTTCTTAAGAACTTGAGAAGTGATGGGCTCCCTTGATCATAAACTTTAGGCTTAGATTATTTTAGGACTATATCCTGTTAGTACATTGTATGAATGAACTGGCAGGAGTGCTAGATGCAATATTTTGATCTTCAACTCTGATCTGATGAACAAATACACCCTTTAAATATATATGCATGCAATATATATGTTCTAGTTCCGGTATTGACCAGTCTATGCCGGAGCGGACTGAATTCCACAACAGACAAGAACAATTATATCTGTTCCGACCCAGTCACGACAGACGTGTATTTCCTGTTCAATTCATGAATAGACCGGTTTATTTATGACTGACCTTACCAATTGAAGAGTGAATTGTTCAATTATTATCATCTAACTTAATATACAACGGTGACCCTTATTTATTCCACATCGCCTTCTTGTTCACCCTCTTCCTCTAATATCGCTCTTCCATCTGGTATCGGTCCCCCCTTATCCATAGAACCCCCGCTCACTATATTGCAGCAAATTGCATTACCTGTACCTCGTGTCATGGCAGTGAATTGTGGAGGTGCGAGCTGCCTTGAAACAGCTGCCCAAGTTGTTTGTGCAGTATGTAGGAATGTGCCGTGTGTAGGAAACCTCGTCTGCGCCGTGGGATTTGCCTTTGTTTAGATATTCTTTGCTTGTCCCTCTACTTTCCCATTTTTTGAATACCCGCCTTTTATCCACATCTCCAAATTATGCCCCACCGAGTGGAGTTGTTCAACTCCACTTCTTATTCCCCGGACTCACATTGACCCTTCTAGCTTCACTGGCCGGTCTAGTCCATTTTATGTTGTTGTAAAGCAATTCATGAAAAGTCCTCTGTCGTAACTAGGTTGGAACATATCTATATGTGTATCTATATATAGTTTATATGCAGTATGAAGTTTCTAGCCCTAACTAGGCCCACATTCGGGAAACAGGTACGTGCCTCCTAAGAATACTGAGCACTTATTTTCTGTTGTTCGAACCTAACTCTGTAAGATGTCCAATGCACCCCACCCCCTAAGTTGACTATTCGACTCACAGATTAGTTAATCGACCTATTGTGGAGTACTTCCAGGATATTCACTGAGATATATTAGACTTTCAAGTACTGATAAGTAGCTGTACCAGACAAAAGTAGCTACAGTGTTAAATTTGAATCTACCCGCATGGCTCGTCATACTGCCTCGAAGAGTTCTCTTTTTTTTATCTAAAAAAAGATCCAATGAGTCTCAAGCCACAGGAACAACAGCCCGCTGAGGGTTACCAGAGTGTACTATTTCTCCTCCAAGACTTTCCGGAGTACGTAGTCTTCCTTCAGGTCAGTGATTCTCATATCATGTCCTTAGGTCGATCGTGGGTATAGAACTTTTTTAAAAAAAAAAAACTCCCCCATTAACTACCTTCCGCTCCCTCTTCTATCATACATGGTACATTGTATCCTATTTTTCCACATATTGTACCAATAATGCGATGTATAGCCATTAATCACGGTTTTCAAACTCCTGAGCCAAATGGATGAATCTCTAAGAATGGAGCTTTGCTCTGTCCTACTAAGCGGCTTTGTATATGCGTTTCTTACCTTGGTGGGCTCCCATTTACAGCTACAGACATTATCCACCGGGGCAGAGTAAGTTAAACTCCTCTAAGGTTTTGCGTAGCATATACTTCTTAGTATACTTCATGACACAGACCACCAGCATGTGGTTGAATGGTGTAACGGTAGCACATAGGATTTTGAACATAAAAAGATCTTCCTGCGACCTGGGTTCGACTCCCAGTTCGACCTGCACAGTGTTTTTTCTTTTGCACATCTACCTACTGGCTGTATAAGAAAGCGTTTTCCTCTCAAAAAGTCAATCTCATCCTTTTAAAGCTTGACAACGGTCTCTAGCGATTCAATCAGGTAATAAGGCACTTCTACCTCTAGCTATTAACTTTAGTCTGAATTGAGCGAACAGAAGAATCAGTAGTGTAGTTACTAGGGCTGTCTTGTGTCCTCTGAGGGTAACGCATAAAGAACATGGGTTCATGTATTTCAGTCTCTGGGTTGTCAATATATTCCATTCCCAGCCTACCATGTTACAGATCCAATGAACAGCTTCATAATATATATATGAATATATGTTCTTGAATATGACAGCAACTTTGTGGGCGAACAACTTGGAAGTCAGGCATTCTAAATTACTATACATACGCGCGTCATTTATATATTGGCCATCTCTTCTTTCGTATTTCTCTGATTCAAATGGAATTCCAAAAGCTTATGGGCTTACTAGATGAAACTCTATAATGTGCATTGGTTAGACTGCCTCAGTTCGGAGTTGTTTTCCTCGGGTCAGGAGCTTGGGTTGGAGCCATGTCACCTTACCAACGAACCACAACCCATGAAGGCATACGAATGATGCGTAAAAAAACATTGCCGGAACGACCGCACCCACCTTCCAAACATCCATTATGGAACGGACATGCTTATCCGCCTACATATGGATGCGAACAGACAAGGCCCCCTAGAAGCTGGCTGTCCCCCATGGGAAAAACAGAGTCAGTCAGTTTCCTACATTGCGGATGTCCGTCAGCGGACGGGTACCACATCACCTTTGACTGTCCCGCCGCCGCATGATCGGTGACTTCACCTCTTGGGGGGTCCTTGATCAACCAATTCGGAAAGAGGGGAAGACATGTGTCTGGTTGGCACAAGCTTCTCGTAGAGAGAGGTCAGTAGGACGCAGTTGAAACCTTTCTCTCTTATCTATACACCCATTCGTAGGGAGCGCTCCCGTTTTTTTTTCTCTCTCTGTTTCCACCGTTCTCCCTTTATCGACAACCATGTGTTTATGATATTTTAGTCAGCTTGTGCGATATATATTCCTGTCTCCACGATTTCCATTTGTCAACCACCAAAAAAAAAAAAAAAAAATTCCACTGGCGGACAGATTAACTTATCAAGCTCTTTAATCCATCCGGCTTCTGGGTAACTCGTCATGGCTCCTTATTGGGCTGCATACAAGTATTGAGTTTAATATAGATATAAAATCAGGTCAGGGATTGATAACTCGGAAGTATGCATATTCCTACGAAGCCTCACAGCTGCGCTAGGCCACCTAAGAATGGTGAAGGGAGCTAAATAAACACAGGCGTACTGTCCAACTTCAGAGTATCAGAGTACACACCAAATTTAGCTATTAGGCCGTTCTTAATGAGGGGCTAGATTATCTAGCCAAGCTTGTGCTGGTACTGAACACAGAGTGGTTGATATAGGCTACTGGGGCTAACTTTTGTGATAACTGAATACATGAGACCCATACACATGTAGGATTTGCCTACGTTTGGCGTTCCTGAATAAAGGACCTATGAAGGACTGAAAGCTATATATGCTAAAGGTCCTTTCACCTCGATCCTAACTATACAATGAATTTTAAACTTCCCCGTTTCGTTCTTATACGATCAAGTACCTAAGGCGCTTCCGGTTCACTACATGGCCAATATATTGATCACCCATCTGAATGCTTGTGGAGAACACCCGGTGATCGTTACAAGCCACGGGAACTGAAGCCACACTCGGCTCTACATAGTCCGTACGCTAGAACAATCTTGGGAAACCATCAATTGCTAGACTTAATAGATAAAATCACGTGGATTGAAAAAGGTTCCAATCCGCCGATTGGGGCGGATCTTATGTCCAGATTATATCTATCACGAGCTCATTTGTCAAAACGACAATGCCCCACCCATACCATTTTCTCTGGGCGTGAAGAAATTTTCGGGATAATGTTAATGTGTCGATCAGGCAGCAGCAGGCTTCATATACATGGAGGAACATAACCAACGTGGATGCTGGATCCGCTGTACCTGGTACCTGACTCATGATTGTAAGCCTCTCATTTTTTTTTTTCGCCCGGTACTATACCTTTCGGAGTGGCTCTTACCTAGAGCAACTTAGAGAACATATTTCCTAACGGTAGGGTGTGCAGTCGGTTAGACCGTAGTGCTTGGGCAAGTTGAGTTATCAGATTTAGTAAGTCTAGTATGCATGACGATTCTGAACTTTCTCAATATGGCGATTCGTAATCTGGCGCCAGAATAGGCAATTCGATGAAACTTTCATGTTAGGATATAGCTATCTCAATTAGTTTACCGAACCACCGCATACTTTTGCCAATTACATAGATACCATGGAATTGTACTGTGACTTGACTCACAATGTGTACCTAAGGAAGTAATAATCATCTTTTTCCATAACCTTTTACCCCATCGCTAGGAACACTTGACAATGGATGACCGTTGAACCCCTATAAGAATTCATGCAGTAGGTGTAGCCCCAAGTTAAAATAAGCATTATTTGCTTATTGCTTATTCAATTGGGCCATAATTTGGAAGGCTAGTGTTCCAGTACATATCCTCTATGCAGAACCATGAGGTTTCGGGAAGGAGTCACCTATATTATTATATGGCAAGTCAGGGATACCGAATTTGCCGATTTTGTAACCCTCGATTTGCCGAACCCCACGCCCGTATCAAACCGAGTAGGCACCTAGCTAACTCCATATGTCGTGCTATTGTAGCTTTGCTGTTGCGGAAGGGAACCCAGTCCCATGGATGCACTGCACCGGGACCGGGAGGGAACAGGCATCGGTACCATGTGGTGGTACTATACATCTAACCGCTGACTCGAGCCTAGTTGTAGCGGGATATGTAGTTCTGTTCTCGTCGGATTGCTTTACCGGGTTTCGACAGGCCCAGGCCTTGGGACTGGCAAACCAGAGTATAGGACCGGGTCCATAGAACATCTACAGCAAACACCTGAGTATCAGCATAGATCATAACACATAGTAAACTGCCATCACATTATTCAAATCGTACAGACATCATCTTGCATGTTTCAATTGAGTAGATACTTTTTAAACTCCCAAGGTTATATTAACTTTGAGAGCCGGCAGTGCCGTCATTGCTTATGCCCAACTCCATTCAATGCTTAACATAGAAATTTGCGAAAACCTCCTGTGCATGTGGGTCGAACGAGGCACAGGCTTACGGTACCTAGTGTCTAATTATTATTACTTTTGAGATAATTTCGACTGTCCAACGAGCAGGACAAAGTTGAAGTACACAGATGGTGCGGATAACATAATTTCATACAGGGGAACTTGTGAAACTCTACATGTCTATAAACCGACGGGCAATATGGTTACTTAAACGAGTGCTATTGAGAGAGGTATGCATATCGACCAATAGGGAATGGGCAAGACGGTTTAGGTAGTTTTTTGAGTGATACCATTACGGAGTACACGGGCCAACCAATTGCAGCCTGGGATAATTCCTTGTCCACAGTAGGGGGAAAAGTCACTGAACATATGTAAGCTCTCAACTCAAGATCTTAGGGTGAATTTTTCCCTCTTTAACAGTATAACGCTTGGCCCACTGTCTCATGTTCGGTCACAAGTATGCTCAAAGTAATGTAGATACTAAAGGATGTACATACCTATCTATACAACTGCGGACGTGCAGCCGGCCAAGCCTCCAGCGCAGGATCGTTTCACAATAATAAAATGTTACTTCAGACCACTGAACATGAGACTGGTGGGTTCCTAGCGTGTTACCATCCCCGCTGGAGATTTTATTCGAGACGCACAATCAGGTTGTACTAGTATAGTAGGTACATATGCAACCAGGTACTTTATCTTCCTGGGCATGCATGTGTGCAGCACACGGGATCGGATGATGAGCAGGCTAGGAGGTAAGTAAGGGCAGATGGGCGGATGCAGGAAAGGCCCTGACAACGCCACGGTCACGATATCTCCCAGTACCTATTGGTACTCATCTCTCAAAACCAATTAAATATAAACAACAGGCACACGGACATCTAAAATCTCTATCGGACATTGATTGGTTCCTTTTTTACGTCACGAAGGGCTGTACAGTACACTAGGTACATGTTGCTTGCAAAGGAGGTCGAAGTCAGTGCGAGCATGTGATTAATGTTACTTAAAGAGATCTGCCGTTCACAGTACCTATGTAACAAATGATAGAGCAGTACACAAGATTGCCGTACAGATGCATGCCAGGTGCATGCACTCCACTTTGGAAGTTCGAGTCCAAAGTGCCATACATACTTTGTATAAGGGCCAATGTTCTCGTAGTGTTGACACTTTTGTTTTTCTTCCCTGCATTAAGTGCCGGAGGAAGATGCAAATCAATCTTCAACGTTTTCGAATTTCTATATTTCTCACGGAGGTGATCTCTACCTTTGGTTTTAGCACAACGAGTAGGTGGGTACCTTGAATGTCATCTGCAAGTCAATCACACTTCACTATACCGAGGTAGGGATAGCCTGCCGCTCCAAGGAGAAAAAAACATCTCTGCGAAATTTCGAGCACAGAACAAAACCTACATGAGGGTATGTACTCCACTGTACTCACCAATGCAGCTAGCTACAATCCCGCCTTCTGCATGCAGTCATGGGCTATGAGATGCCATGGCCATGGAAGGATGGATGTGACACGCAGCAATAGGAAACAAGAACTCGGGTTACAGGTAGAGAGTATACAATAAAACACCAGGGGAATATCTTTGAGTTTTTAAATTTACTGGCACCCTTGACTCGGATGGGGAAAATAGTTTACCTACTGTATAAGACAGGACTTCTCTAGCAGTGAGCCGAGGGTGGGCTACCTAGCGGCTTGTGCCGAAGATTGAGCACTGGCCACTTCGCGCCGCCTCCTCATCCGCGGCAATTTCGCTTCAAGTCTTGTATTTTTTATTTCAAATAAAAACAGTGTGCAAGAGCAT